AAATCATAAACATAATCATAAACTTAAGGAGAAGAAGTGAATTTGGAAAGAGTTTATGACCGTAAGGCAGGATTGTCCTCCAGGCCTCGAGGGCCGGTGTCCTGCAGGTCTTAGACGTGTCCTTGATCCACAACACAGCTGATTTAAATGGCTAAATGACCTCCTCAACAGTTAATGAACTCATCATTTGATTTAGGTGTGTGGACATAAGGTGATATCTAAAACCTGCAGGACAACGGCCCCCGAGGCCTGGAAGGTTGGACACTCTGGCTGTAAGGCTTTTGTCATATATAATCCAAAATGAGAAGAACAACACAAGAAACAAAAAACCTTTAGGATCTGAAAAATGTCCAATAAATGAATCACACCTCTTTATAAATACAAATAGTTACTCACAGAACAAGACTAAGTTTAAAACCTGCTGATTTGTTGTTGCATGTTGTTTGTTCACTGAAATCTAAGTTAAAGAATACGTTTTTTTATACAAAAATGGGGTAACATTGCATACTAAAGAAAAGGTGCTACACCTATCAGGAAGATCAAACCACGAGAGCCGAATACAAAAGTTAGCCTTGATCTTCATTAATTTTCATGTCACAGCCAATCAGTCTTCCAGCTCTTTAATAAACTATTTGAAATAACGAACAAACAAACAATAGGAAAGCTCCGTGGGGCTGAGGATGGAAATTTGGGCCTTCAAAATCAAACTACAAACTATTTTTGTTTTATTTTGACCACCAGTGTTATTAATTTGTCACAGTCTGACAATAGAGAATAAGGTTTTTAATTTCACTGAGATTTTACTGTCATGGTTCTGGGTCCTTTTAGCCCAGCATTTTGTGTTTTCTTGTATTCCTGTGGTAGTTTGTATTATTAGATTATGTTCTGGTTCATTAGTGGTCTTTAGTTTTCTATTGTGAGTTATATTCCCTGTTTAGTATTTTCCCCTTGTGTCTGTGATGTCTCTCTCTGTGTCTGTGTTGTCTTGTGTCTTGTTTCCTCCTCGTGTTTCATTCAGTTTTCACCTGCCTGCCATGTTTATCCATGTTTCCCCAGTCAGTCACGTCTCTGTGTCTGTCTGCACCTCTGTGCGTGTGTTCCCATTACTTCCTGTTTTATTTTGGTAGTTTCCTATCTGTGTGCGCCATGTTTTGCTTTGCTTCTGCTATTGTGAAGGTACCTTGTCTGATCTGTTATATTTAGCTTTATTTTCTTCTGTCCACCGTCACGGTCCCCCTCAGTCCACACTGTGTGTTCTGTCTGCTAAAACTGCTAGTTTATTTTGTATCTTCAGTTAAGTTAGTTTTTCCTTGTTCAGCAATAAAGCTGTTTTTTGAGTTTATGTTTCACATCCTGGAGTCTGCATTAATGCACCCAAATGCATTTGGGTCCTCCCTTCCTGCCTGCTGCATGCAGTTTATGACATTTACAACTGCAAAAAATACAACAATGTAAATAAATAATAATAAAACTAAATGGACTGAATTGGACATTTGGAGAAGCATCAAACATCTTCTTTTTGGTAACTGTTAGGTTTTGTATTGTTGATTGTCATTTATGCTTAGAAATATT